ATTCAAGAAATTGGAAATACTCTTATGTTTTAATATAGTGAGAGTTATTTGACCAGTTCACTATGCCTTTGAGATCTTGAAGTCCATCTTCTTTTAAATATGCTTGTGTCAGTTTGTTATTGTAGGGCTGTCATCTCATCAGCTCTTGGTTTCTTCCAGCCCTGTTCTTCATGCATGCGTATCAAAAACATTTGGAAGTTCACCTCAAATTCCCCTAGGCTACATCTCAGCCCTGTGTTAGATCCCCTCATTTGATATGAAAAAAGATATTAAACAGTATTGGTGTGCTCACTAATTTGTGGTAATAGCCTTGTGTGGCTGGTGATTTTGCAGATTTACCCCTGAGTTCATTAGATCATGACTGTACATCAATCTGCTAGCGTGGGCTTTTGTTTTTGAAAGGAAGTCAGTATTAGTTTATTTTTCATTGGGAAAAATATGCAAATAGTTATTTTGATTTTGAAAGCAGACAGAAGAATATAGATATATGATTGTTTCTGTATGTATCTTAGATGGTATCAGATCTGATAAAAATATTTATTTCAAATGCTTATGGCTTAATAGATGGCTTTGCAAGTTGTAGGACCAGTGTTTCTGGATTCTCACCCTTCACATACCTGGGTATAGTGCCTGTGGCAAATGGGCACAATTGGTATTTTTGGTCGTCCAATTCCACCCATACGCCATAGTATGAATTTTGATCTCATTAGCTAGAGTATAGTTGATTACCCATCTTTTCCCTTGACTTCTGGATCCATGCAAGTTGGTGGCTTTTTTAACCTACTGTGCATTCCCCGAGTGTCTACTTTGGCACTGTACTGATTAAGAGAATGCATTGGAATGAGAGAATAAGGACAATTGTTTATAATTCCTAATAATTTCATTTATAGTTGCCATGAATCTTGGTAATAGTTTTTCTCTAAAACACTTTGCAGTAAAGCTCTGCATCAAAAGGCAAGTCAGTGACGGGCTGTGTATGTGTATTTGCCTTTGTGCACTTGCCCTCATACTTGTGTGTTGGGGGGGGGGGTTGAGGGGTTAGAGGAGGGAGAAGGGAAGAGAGAAAAAGAAAAGAGAAGAAGAGAGGGAAAGAGAGAGGTTATCTGTCCTAATACTCTGAAAAAGAGGTGTTCAGTCTCCTTGGTCATTATGAAACAAGAGGCGTATTTCTTATTGCTGATGAATTTCAAATATAATTACAGATTATTGGTAAACCACATTAAGTCCCAAGAACTGGATCAAAAATATACAACAGCTACAGAAGCCATTTGAATTATCTCTGAAAAACCTAGTAGCCAAGTATGAAATCAGTTTGTGAATGAAGATAAACTGTTGCTGGTAGTCCCTTTAATTTAGCTATTTCTCCACGATGCTAAGGGCTGAGTTCTAAAAGTGAAATGAATGGCCTATGCCTAGATCCATTGTACCACTCACTTGCAAGTTTCTGCTCTCTTGTAGAAGTGAACGACAACAGTTAAACTTCAAAGATAGCTTTTTGATTGGGTTTCTGGAACATAATGGCGCTTTTGTATTATGCTTGAAATAGAGCCTACAGCCACCCCAAACAAAGTAGTCTCTTTCAAGATCTTGGAAATAATGACATCATAGGTAGATTGAACCAGCAATCCATTAATAGTGTCCTTTGTAGAAAGCTTCCTCAGGGGAGTACCTGGCTTAGTAAATTGGCATTGTTTACAAATATAATATAATAGAATCCCCCTTTTTTCTGCATTTGTGGAATAGTAGGAGATACCTCCCACTTGAAAAACAAATACATTAACATCGAGGCTTCTTTACAGATCCCTAATCTTTCTCTGTTGGTCTTCTAAAAGTGCGCTTTGAAGTACTTGCTTTGCAGGTAGGTTAACAATAACAAGAATCGCCTGTACTATTCTTTTGTCACCAAATCAGCATTATCTGGAATCATTAGAAGATGACTATTGGTTGTACCTTGTAAAGGGTAGTAAAGAACTGAAGTAATTTTAGGATAATTTGACCTAAACCAAATCTGAAATATCTAGATAAACAGAGAGATTATTTGGTTCATGCGTTAGGTTCCTGGTGTGGAATTGTACATAAAATCTTCAATTTCATTTCTGCCTTCGTAAAAAGTCTATTTCAGCTCCTTTTATGATCTCCAGATAAGTTGAATGGGATCAAAACACTTCCAGTTAGGTGGGCAGTAGAAAGGTATGTCATATAAACTGGGTTCTTTGCAGAATGGCTGTGATACTGACCATAGCAAGTGTGTGTTGTTGAAATTTTGGTCAGGGATTTCTAGTGCAACATAGGGAAGTATAGTTGAGGTTTTAGATCACAAGTAGTCCTTTTTCCCAACCTAAAATACTCATATACCTGGTCAAATAAGGTCAGGGTAATCAGGCAGCCTGAAAAGAAGCGGGGCATCCACCTGCTTCTCTGGTCAGATGGAGTAATTACAAACAAAAAAGCCACTCTGTTGTTAGCCACACCTATTTATCAAGAGCAAAGGAGCATAGTATTTAAATCACGTAGTTGTACTAGAGCCCTGACTGGCCAAGACTCTTGCTTACCTTATTATGCAAGATCAGCTTTAAGTATCGTTTTAAAGAGGTCATGTGTACTTCTCTGACTTCTTTCATCTCATGTTAAGTAATATGTCATCAGAAAATATGTAATCCAGAAAATGGTGGCTCACTCTCCCTGTGAGACACATTTTTCAGAAATCTATCTTCTAGGTATTTCTACTTAAATGCTCAGTTCCTTTGCAATAACTAAGCTACATTTTGTATACTGAGATTTATGCAATAACCACCTCATATTCAGGCATTAATTTTGAGCCCAGAAAAGTAAATGAAAGGAAAAAAGAAAAAAACTAGTGCCTAGAGGCAAATTCTTCTCAGTGACTAAGTTAAAACTATGAACCTGTTCAATACAGTATAATGCCACTGGTGAAGTCAAGTCTTAAACTCACTTTTCTTCTAGAGCAACAGTGAATTTAGAAGGACCAAAAATCAAAATGCAAAAGATAATGTAGACACATTCTCACTGGTTTCATATTCTACTTAAAATATTTACTAGTACCAGTAGCATCTATGAATATACTTTTTCCTTGCCATCAGTTATTATGCATTATACCATTGCCATAGTTTCACCTATATAGGAAAATGTGAGGTTTATCAAATTTTTGTTGATGGTGACAAAACATTTATTACTTAGCATTTTCATTATTGTGATTACTGAAAAAATACAGAATTGGTCTCAATTCATTAAGCTAATACAAGGCATGACACTTAGGCAAAAGAAAATAAAAGAGATCTGTCCAAATCAAGATCAGGCCAATCATCGTTAGTTGTCATCTGTGCAGATGGGGAAGCTATTAATTGATACTAACCTATTCTTGAGTAATTACAGACTGTATATATATATATATATATATATATATATATATATTTTGTCTTTTTGTCTTTTTTTTCGTGTCCGGCAACTGATCGCAACCCTCAGTGTTGCCCCCGTACCGGACCGGGGACCGGCGACGGGATCGCAAGCCTCGGCGTTGCTCCCGCGCCTCGCTCAGCCAGTGAGCAGGAGCCGGTCTGTACGTGGGATCCGAACCCTCGGACGGGAGCGCTGCCGCGCTTCCCAAGCGGCGCACTATCCATTGCGCCACCGGGCCGGCCCCCAGACTGTATATATTTGAGAAAATTTAAAATATAGTAATGTTTTAAAAATCTCCATATAACATGATGTAACTTAGAGTTAATTGCTGAAAATAGTAAGCACATCGTAACCACTAAAAGACTAGAAAAAATTGTGATAGATTGTTTCTCATCATTATAATAGTTAAAGAGGAGACCTCTGCTTTTGTTATTAGCAAATGTTGTTGGAATAAAGTGATATGCCAAGTTGGTTTGGAGAGTTCTCATGCTTCTAAATTACTGCCAGGTAATACTTAATAAGTTTACAGAGATTTTGTTGTAATAGGATTTGATTTTCCTTGTATTCAAACTGAGGATTCACTTGGAACATACTCTTAGCACCTGACTTGTGCTGGAGAGTGTCAGGACCTAATAGAAGGACTTGAGTTAGAGTTGAGAAATGCCTGGAGACAGAAACATTTCCTCAGGGAGTCCATGCTCTCCAGTTCACTTTATCCCCCCCAGTGGAATGAAACCCAAATGTACTCATACCTACACACAAGATACTAAAGAATAATGAAATTAAGAGCAAATAAGTTCCTAAAACCCAGACTGGATCTTACAATCCAGTTACCTCTGTCAACTCCCTTGTTGTTCCCTGTTCTGAGACATAAGTATGACAGGGAGTAAGGGTATGGTGTCTCCTCAAAAAGTGGCCTTGTTCTCTGGGTCTCCTCCTTCCTCATGGTGACATTCGGCCCGCCTCTGTCTTTTACCTGCATAGGAGAAGATGGGGCATTGTTTGCCCAAACAGTACACCTTAACTCTGCTGAAACTGCCAGATCTACGAGATGGGTTCCCAGTTCATTACCATAAAAGCAATAGAGTGAATTTTGTAAATCAGGTACACACGTGTAAGAAATAGACACCAAGGGCATACCGTTGTTCAAGATGGTGACAAATTGTTGTGGGCCATTAAAAATCAACAGCCGAACCTGTGTCAATTCCAAACTATGAGGAGGTTGTGTTCCCTGACCATTGCAATCATTAGGGTAGAATTTTTAAAGAATGATTGTAAACTGTCTGTTAAAAGACTTTGAGTGGGCAGCCGAAAATAGAGTTTCAGTTTATACATATTGAAAAGCCATTCACTACTGAATGGCTTCACTTTCCTCCCTTGGAAATTGCATCATTGGTCTTTGGAAGGAGGAGGCAACTCCCTTCCCTTCAGAAGAGGAATCCCCTCCAAATGATTCACACGAAACCTGAGAAAACCTGAGACCAATATTTTTGTATCTAAGATGTTAGAATCCCCATATTTACTAGATTTTTTTTTTTAGACTTCTCCTTCCTTAATTCCTGTTTTCTCCTCCTTTACTTTAGGAGCTGTGAAGTTGGTTGTAACTGAAAATGTCTGACGGTCTGGATAATGAAGAGAAACCCCCAGCTCCCCCACTGAGGATGAATAGTAACAACCGGGATTCTTCAGCACTCAACCACAGCTCCAAACCACTTCCCATGGCCCCTGAAGAGAAGAATAAGAAAGCCAGGCTTCGCTCTATCTTCCCAGGAGGAGGGGATAAAAGTAAAGTATCAGTGGCTGGGCATTGAAAAGGGGCTAGTTTATTCTTTCACTGTCACTTTTTTCTTGGGTAGTCATTTCTTGAGCAGCGGCTGTTTGGGGCCTGCCTGATCTTTACATTTACATCTTCGGAGGTTGCATTTTGTCAGAGAATAATGTTTGATTGACTTACTGTGGGATGACAAAATACACTTATGCTGTGTTTGCCTTTCACATAAAATTGAATCCATAGTGGTAAACCAAGGGAAATCAAAGCAACAGCACTATCTTGAATATATAAACAGTAACTTTAGAGTAGAATTTACAGTAATCCCTTCCTAACTGTAAGTTGTTCTTTTTGGAAATTTGAGTACAGGTAGATTTATTTCTGTATACCTTTTTGGTAACTATGAAGATTCTGAATTGAGTATATCGGAGTCAGTCCAAGTTGCCACAATATTGTGCTTCTGACTTTATCACAAGGTGGGAAGAATGTTGAGTCATTTATTTCCTTTCTCGTTCTTTTACCTGTTATCCCCTACACAATCAGCCCCGACTATCACAACAATATATTATAATTTATCCTTGTGTTTATAATACCATTTGGTGCTTAAAAATCATATACTAATACTTTATGACATTCGGGGATATGAAATCTCTAGTGAGTAATTGTCAGGTTGCATTAGTTAGCATAAAGCTGAAACATGGCTTCTATATGTATGACTACTGAGGGGAATGAGACTGAAGCACATACAAGAGCACAGGCACCACAGAAAGTTGCCAAAAGGCAAGATGGGTGATGTCTTTAGAAGAGAAAAGGGATATTCTTGATCTGCTTCTTCAAGGTAAAACAAATAGTTTTGTAGGTTGCTTATACAGTGTTAATGAATCCACAATTTGTACCTTAAGGAAAGCTGAAACTCTTATTGCGGCCAGTATTGCCTCTTATACTTACACCACTTAAAAGAAGCTTTATCCCTCATAACCCAAGAATGGAAAAGATGGAAATGATATTAAACTCTAGATTGAAGATAAACAAAAGAATAATGAAATACTTTTCATGCAAGGGACCTGTGACCACGCAAAAAGAATTTTCAAATACGTGTTTTCAGACAGTGAAGCGGATCTTGAAAAAACATTTTTGCTTGGAACAAGAGACAATTTGAGAAATTTAAGGTGTGCCGTGACCTGGCACCATGATCTAGGTGCCAAAGAATGACTAGATCCTACAGCTCCTGTGCTGTGTCCTCCACAACTGTGGATTCTGTGCCTGCACAAACCTTTGGTGCTATTGAAACTTCCATACTTTGAGAGTCCTTTTGAATAACCCTACTTGCCGTTTTGAAGAGCAAAAGCCAACTGATGCTGACATGAGGTCAGCAAAGACAGAGAGGCTGACATTTCTGTTTTGTGCCAATACTTCAGGTGACCTCATAGTGAAAGCGTGACTGCTGTATGGAAAACTATGTCCAAATCTTCTCAGGGAAAAAAACTGAGCCAAATTTCTGGTGTACTGCCGTGCAGACAGAAAAGCCTGGAGGACTCCTTCTCCCCTTAAGGAATGGTTGAACAGTATTTTCTTGTAGAAATTTAAGACTATTTAAAATAAAAAAAATCTTTAATTTAAAGTCCTGCTGATTTTTCACAGTCTGTTTGGTGCCTCAGATGCATTCGCCAACAGGCATCCTGATGTTAAGATTGTCTTTCTAACTAGCCTCATGTCTCAGATCCTTGAACCCTTAGATCAGTGTTTGATCTGGCCATGTAAGAAGACTTAGGCTAAACTAATATATAAATTTGCTGTTTAAAATCTTGCAAAAGTTCCTCTGTCTGAAGATCCTAGAGCATGGAATTCCTACAGCATCACTCTATTCTTAATAAAAGAGGCATTAGATAGTTCAACAGAGCCTGTCATTAATGTGACCTGGGAGAAGATATGGCTAGAGATGGTGAAATTTCTTTCAGCAGTTTCTCCCAAAGACAATGAATCTTTGGATCAAGAAGAACCTATGGATGAAGGTGAACATCTGGCACAGGAGCAGTCATTGGCTGAAGTTGTATCTGAACTTGTCGACCCTAATTCAAGTGATGTGATGCTCCTAGAAGTTAATCCCCAGGAAGTTTCAGTACTCCAGAGGTGATTATCATAAGTGATGATGAAGACAATTAGGAAGCTATGAGAATGGAGACAAATACAGTTATAAGCAGCAGGAGCAAATTTTTTAGAACAAGATTAAAATCTCCCCAAGAAAATAATAAAAACTGATACATTTACATGTCTAATCTTACCTGTTCAAAGCTTAAGTGATTTAGCAGAATTCAATAAAGATGTGCTGTGATGCCTTAAAACACAATCACATTGGACAGAAACTATCTTCAACAGAACTTAAATCATCAAGTGCCATTTTAATACCATTGCTAGACAGTGAATAAGCTACCTTCAGACAAAGCTAGGATGATTTCATTGAACTCTATAAAGAGGTGCTAAGAGTCTTTTTAAAAGATCATATTGGGAAGAAGGCAACCTCAGAAAAGCCTAAATTATCAAGGAGTGTCATTTAAATACCCTTACTGGACAGCTGATAAACTGGCTTCAGGCAAAGTTTGAATGATTCAATTGAACTCCATACAGCAGTGCTAAGGTGTCTTCAAAAAAGACTTCAGAAGACAGAAAGCATCTTGAGAACAGCCAAAGTCTTTGAGGAATGCCACTTAAATTTACTTGCTTGCTAGAGCTAAAGCCACAAGCAAGTTGTTACAGCTTCAGGATTGGACTTCATTGACTTTGAGAGCAGAGCCATCCATAATTTGAACTAAGTCCACATCTGTACATTGCTTCTCTGTCACCTCATTTTCCACTACCATAATGAGTGTGGTGGTACATACATCCTCATCATCTGTGGAAATCATCCCAGGATCTAGGTAGAAACTGGAAATTCTGTCATTTTTACCAATATAAACTATGTAAACTCTCATTATTCTTTTTATGTAATGTACTGTTATTTCACTGTGCATAAAAAAAAATTATGACAGCTTTCAAAAGTTCACTTGTGACCTCATTTCCCCTGCCCATTGGTTATTTTCCTCCTGAAATCATAATTTCCTCTGCTGAACTCTCCCGCCTCTGGGTTTGTTCAGGAGCCTGACCCTTGTGGATGAGGAGAAATTACTGTTTCTCTGTTCCTGCTTCTAGGGGACTACTTGTGCTACTCTGCACTGGGCTTAGGTTCTGTAGACCTGGGTTCATGTGTAGCTCTGCCAGTGATTTTTGTGACTTTAGGCCAGCCACTTAGCTTCTCTGAACCCTAGTTTCATCACCTGTTAAGTGAGGAAAGTGATACCTGGCCTACCTCACAAGATATTGGTGATATTCAAATGTAATTCAAAATATCAAAATGCTACTAAAAGTAAAGTTTAAAAGTGCTAAGTAATTATGAGGTGTTATTATACTTGTAGCATTTTGGAACTTACAGACAACCGACCAAAAAACTAGATGTTCAAATTCTTATTTTTTTTAAAAGTAACTTTCTCCCTAACTGAATTTATATATCAGTTATAGAAATTTTTAAAAGAAAATGAAAATTGCTCATAATTTCACAAGCCAAAGGTAACTGGGTTGATATTTTTCCTCCTAGTCACTCTTCTTCTCATCATATAGCAATTGTTCATCAATGTCAAAAACTTGGAAAATAAAGACAAGCATTACAGAAAAAAAATAAAAGTACCCATAATCACAAATCTCAAAAATAATGTTAACATTTTGTTGGATTTCTTCCCAGACTTTTTCTGTGGCTATATATGCACATATGTACTTTTTACATAGTTAAGATCATAATATATTCAGTTTTGTATCCTGCTTTTTTACTTAATGTTTTTATCATGAATATTCTCTTACATTTAAAAAAAGTACTCATAAATATTCTTGGTGGTGTAGAAAATTTCATCACATAATGGCATCATGGTTTATTTAACCATTTTCTTTTGTTGGATATTGGGATCCTTTCCAAATTTTTCTCATTATAAATAGTCACAATGTCTATTTCATTTCTTAAATTAAAATATTTGCATTGGCGACAGCAGAGGGATTTTCTGTTTTTGTTTTTGTTTTTTTAAGAAGTCTCTTTAATTGACCAAATCAAACCTCAAGAGACAGGTAGAGGAAATATAAGTAGTAGTAGAAGAAATTTTATGACTGAGAATCTATCTTTGTTGGAGACAGTTCCAGGAGCTGAATCTTGGTGTTAGAGCAATTGAGGAGGGACAATTTGCCACCATTTTATGATACTTCACTATAGAAAAGTTTTCAGGATTTAGACCAGGAAAAAGACATACTGAACAAGTGGTTTGATCTTATTTCTTAGACCCTGTGAAGGGTGGGACTGATCAGCTTTCTCCTTTGTTGGCTACTAGAATGCTTGGAGCCAAATGTGCGGCCATGCATGGCACTTGTAATGGGACTCTGTATTAGCTTTCTTCCAAGCTCCACTTTATGTTCCTATCTTTGTTTTTTGTTTTTGTTTCCTTTTACTTTCTTATCTACTTTAAATTTATACTATCATGTTGTATTTTGTGTATTCTTGTAAGCCACCTGGCATCTATTTTGGAACAAGGTGAGGAATAAATACAGGGATAAATAAATCAAGGCATGAATAAATAAATGAGTAAATAAACCAATAAGGAAAAGGCAATAAGGCAGATGAATGCAGCAAGGACTCTAAAATGGCATAGTGCCTCCAAAAATAATCATTGTTAAGGACTTGAAGCTCAGAAGAACATATGGGAAAGAAGCAGGTGAGGCTGCATTTGGAGGTGACATGTGTTCTGTGTGACATCTGTGTCTTCTGAAGCATGCTTATGTGTCTTGTATCTTGTGCTGCACTTGAGCATTAGGTGTGTTTCAGAGGACATGCAGTGCTGTGTTAAGGGCTGTGTCCTTAGCACAATTCATGTGCATTTTCTGTGTGGGGGGAATTCAGAAAGATTTGGGAGCTGGTAAGCCTGGGAATGATGTGATGGTCCCTCTT